AATAGATAGTTTTTATGGTCATTTGCTGATTCAGTCTGGTATATTTTTTATAGTAACTAGTCAAACTTTAGTAAAGGTAATAGCAGTAGACCCAAATGTAATAGTTTAATTTTTTTTAGTAGCTAGTTTTCAATGAAATGAATACACGGTTCTCTCAACTACTAATGGTAGCCAAGGAAAAGTTGAAAGTTCTCTATAGCCATAGCAGGCAAAAAAGCAAAAAGTAGGGATTTTTTGAAAAAACTTAAAAGTGGCAATATCTCGTAAACTAGAAAACCTTTACTAAGGTAATATTGATTTTAGCTGATCAATCTGAAGCCAATCTACCTCCCGTGTCGCTCATTTATTTTTGGGGTAAGACTACAATTTAGAGCATATTGCAAATACTTCATTTCTTACTTTAAAATGAAAGGTTAGGATGTACATTTTACGAAAATATTATTTTTTCTTTGAGGGTCCCTCTGCTTTCTATTTTATAGAACTTCAAAGTTGTATTTTTGGTGGTAATATTCTTGGACAGAATACAGTTTTATACGTTGTCTTTTTTTGCTCTTTGCACTAAAGGATGATCTAAATTATAAGAATATAACATAGACTGTAGGTATAGTATTAATGAAAATATATATGAAACTATAAAAAATCGTTGTTTTTTGCAAAAATTGTTCAAAACCAACCGTGTTATTACACATTAGCTTATTAGCTAAAATAACAGTTCAAAGATCAATGATCATTTCATCAAATCATCGAAAAGCTTGCAATGTTCTTTGTTTTGTTTTCATTATTTAGTGATTGGCAACAGTTACTTTTCTAGTTACTTCTCATATATACATATATATCCGGATGTGTGGGCATGTGTATCCACTTTTGTAGTTTCATATGTGCATTCATTTCGGGCCTGATGAAGCCAACCAGCAGAAATAAGTATCGCTCGGGTTACCTATCCTATTTTCTGCTCGAATCCACTTTCCTCCTTTTTGCGGATTTTGCCCATTATTTTCCTACTTGTTGTTATATATATATATATCACATTTAGTTAGGTATATTTTGTAACATCAGCTTCACTTTAAATAATTTTCAGTACATACATCCTAAAAGTAAATAGATTATAAGTAGATATAATATAAAAAAACAATAATTGAAGTACTTTTGTGAAGGGCATAAGTGACTATAGCTAACGCTATCGTAGGGCACGAGGCAGATTCAGTACAGAAAAAACTGCCGGCCACACCTCCAAATCGCATTTTCATGACAATCCGGTGCCGATTGCACATTTTTGCGCTAGTATATAAGTAAGAATTTGACAAATCAAATTAAGGTATATTACTATCCATGATTTGGCAACATGGCAACTAGATGGAGAGAGTATGATAGTGATGGTGTAGTGATGGGAATATCTATCTAAAATAAAAGAAATTACTACTTAATAATGAACTATGTTATCATTAAAATAATGCAAAATTGCATTGTTGCGATGAACAGTAACACAGTAGTTTACAGTGTATGTTAAATTCATATAATTTTGAGCAATCTTTTGTGTAAACAAGAAAAAAAACAGCCTATAGAGCAGTATTCTATACCACAGTATTACCACCCAAAATGCAGCTTTGAAGTTCTATAAAATAGCAAGCAGAGGGTTCCTTAAAGAAAAAATGATATTTTCGTGCAAGTTACATCCTAATCTATCATTTCAAAATAAGAAATGAAATATTTGCGATATAAGTATAGTTCAGCCTTTCTGGGGCTCCCTGTATATCTTATGTATACAAGAAAAATGAAACTAGAAATAGAATCGTTGTTTACTTTTATAATGGCTGGATCATTTACCTCCCTTTTGCAAATGTTGTCCTCTGACCTATAACAGAGGGAGACACCGCAAAGTCAGCACTAAGCGAACATGTTTGGGAAACAGAGCATAGGGAAAATGGGAGGCCGGCGCGATAGCAGCGTGGACGCTGTTGTGGCGGAGCGTCAAAGGATCGTGCATCCCTATGATTACAGGTATTATTCCGAATTGTGAGCACATTATTCATCACCGGATTTTCCATTATTAGCGGGGCCAAAAGCTTCATAATCATAGAACTCCCCTACAACCACCAAACTCACTCCCAATTTTTTAGGGAGGTCGTAAAACGTAAAAAAGTTAGAACAATTTTAATTTTATCGTCTTTTGCCCCAAGCCACGCTATCACGACCAATTTCTAAAAAGTACAAAGCTTTTGTGAAAATTTAACATTTAAAAAAATACAGTCTCAATTCCGAAATTTTTCGCGTTTACAATATTTCCTCGTCAGTGGCAGAGAAAGTAAAAATAACAATTGAAGCTGAAGATCGCTGATCCCTCGGAGCACTTTTATACATTTCTACTGTGGTAATTGTACGTAACTTCCAAAAAAAAATCTTAGTCTTGCTTGCCAAAAATCATCAAAGGACAAAATATACTTAGAACCTAAGGAACAACCCATCAATGTCTCTCCATGTTAAGGAAATGGCCCTTCACTCAACTAAAATAAAAAAGGTGTCCCCTCTTAATAAGCATATTGAAAAAGTGACACCCAGAAACGAAACTCTTGCGACATATACATTTATTTAGAAAGTCATTGTGGTCCTGGGGCAAGAAACTTTGAGTAGCCCTTGAATATTTCATAGAGTTGGGATTCTCTGTATTTAGTTATTCAGTCTCCCATTAATCTTCCTGTATTAGTCTGACATTGCAAAATCCTGTTTCAAATAAATTCGTTATTAGATTCTCGTTACATAATTTGGAATCTATAGAACTTTTGAGCTTTGTTGTTACTACGGCAAGGATTAAAAGCGTCTTTTAACGCTTTTTGGCGGATCACAGTAAAGCTACAGGAACTAATTTTATACATTCATCTCCCACACACTTATGAATGCAATCGGCCTTCTTGCGCGGATGTTTGTATAATCTCACAATTACAAAAGGAATGTAAAGGAATCAGCCCATATAAAATTAAACAACAAAATGTGTTTCTAGTTCTGCTGTGGACTGTGGCCCAATCTGAATATCCGTCAGGGAATGATCTAATATCTAATTGATGTTCTCCAATCTAAGTCCATGAGTTTTTATTCCAGGTTTCTTCTCGTGCCCAAACTGTCTTATACTATTTTCTCACAGGACAAATAGCATGGTACCCTTTGGATGTTGAGGTAGTAATTCTCGCGTTTCAGATGCCAAATAATGCAGTTCCAACATTTTAGTTAAAGATTGCATAAAAATTAACCGGTGTGCTGCGACAACAGTTCTGGGTGGTTTTTTCCCGTTTCATTTTTTTTAAGGACTTGTGGTGTGTTTGGAACGATGGATGAGGGTGACGTATCTGGTACAGTAAAAAGCAATAAATAGTCTCATACTAGCTCGTCGTTTTGGAAGGCTGAACGCCCTTTTTTGATAATGGGAATGACTACTCCAGGCGGCTCTGGGCAATTCTGGTTTTGCGAGGTGCCATCTTAAGATTCGGAATGATGACTTCCCGCAATCTCAGCCTGTTACGGGACTTCCAGACTATTGTAGTGCCACACTGAAATTATAATAAAAAGAAGAAATAAATGAACTATTACCTGGAAGACAGATAAATCAAATATATGTCATTGTACCGAAGAAGATCACATTTGTGACTGAAACGTTTACTACAGTAAAGATCTTTTAATACCCAATTGGTCAGACAAGCATAGGGGATAAGCTCACAGGTATACAGTTTTTTTGTTTTCACCACCTTAAAAATTTTCTCGTCAACGTATGGCTCTTCTGCATTTAGGCTTGTCTGTATGAAAACTTGCTTGACATGGGCGTAGGATTATAGTTTACTTTCTTTTGCTGATATTCGATTCAAAGCATCGTACTGCCTGAAGATACAACTACAAGAACAACTGCTCTCTATCACGAAATGTACGTGTGCGAGCAAGAGCAAGTAGCAGCTGCGTTGAGGATCGGCTTGCGCAATGTGTAATTTTCCTTAGAGAAGATAACTAACTTAGCTTTCGTTCATCCAACCAAGGACGGCCAAAAATGGATGCCTGTTTCGTGCTATCTGGTAACTCCTCAGCATGGTGTAGGCCTGGTCTCAGGTAAGACAACGAACGAAAGTTGAGCAACTGTCCTATCCAGACAACGAGTATAAGGTCTATCAAAAAAGTGTAAGCAGCAAGTCTAACTGATGGAACTGTATCCCAGTTCACATTGTCAACCGGGTCACCATTGTGGCCGCTAGATGCCGTAAATTATGATGCTATCGTAGATACAATGTAATCGCTATTAAACAACAAGTACAAGTAATTTGTCCGACCACAGGCAGCCAACCATGGACAGCTGTTTTGTACTATTCAGCTCCTCAGCAGTGGTCGATTCTGGTAACAGATGGCAATTTTGTGCTGTTTTGTTTTGGAAGTTAGACTCCGCACATGATACAGTTAGACAATATGTTCAATTATTCCGCATGCCATTGTGATGTAACTGCTAAGGATTGTGAAAAGAATTATATGCATGTTATATGTCTTTTTGTCGTTTACATACATTGAAATGCAAATACTCAGCACTGGTAGAAATTTCCTTCTATCCATTGTTTATTGTACACCTGCAAGGCATCTTCAGCAGAAAGCCACGTGTGCCTAAGCATAGATCCAAAAATCGATACCATAATGTACTCATTGTCATAAGTTCATAACCCGGTTAGATTCCGTCATGTCATTTTATTCTTTGCAACTGAATAAGTTTGTAGTCAAGTAACGGGACTCAGCGGAGTTATCCCAATAAAGTTTTAAGAAACATTTCTGTAGATTCAATGCTACGACATGCATATAGCTCATGAAAGGCTGAATGGTGGATAAGAATGTTTCAAAAAACGGTACTTAGTGGCTGCAACGAAACAAAATTTGTATCTATATTTTGATGTTTTTTTATGGGAAAAGGCTCAAAAGATTTCGATGAATTAGCCCAGTTGATATGCTCAAAAAATTAAAATGCTTGATTGCCATAGTCTTACCTGGTGATGTGCGACTGGATACAGGCCATTGGAACATTCTGCTGGCATGATGCATAATTCACGGCAGAGTCACCTTTTTGAGTAAAGTTTTTATGTAACACGTAGTTCAACATTTCTAGTGCTTCTTTCACTAACGAACGTTACCACTAAGCTTTGTTTTCAAGTGTTGTTGAATACTTTCATAGATTCTTTTGTATAGTTAATTTCTCATAATCATACTGTCATTGAATTAAAAATTATACAGAATTTTTTTTTGGCTACATTTGAGAAAAATATCTGCAATTATAGTAGTTTCAGAGATCCCGAAGTAGATAGTCATACCATATCTAAGTACCCAAAGCTGTAATTAGGGAATATGCATGTGATTCAAATGCCGGTGAATTATTTTTATTTACAGTATTGCTACAGAATTACCCTTTCAAGCTTATTTTATACTTGAGTATTAATTAATAGAAATGGAAAAAATACGAAGTAAATTCAAAACATCGAAGCGCAACACTATTAGTGTGTCGTCATTATGTGCGACTTGTGAATAGCCAACCCTTTGTTGATTGGTCAGTCCGACTTAAAATGGCAGATCTTTATTCTCATATAGTTATGCATCGGGGTTACTTTAGACTTTAGACCATAGACGGACTTGGATCTTGAGATATAACCCTCCTGTGTGCAACTAACATTGACTGGATGTGGTTTATAGTACGAGCCCCTTCCCACTTCAGTTGGTACACTTCAAGATTTGTACCAAAATATGCCTTTATAAACTAAAAATGACGAAACTATTTACTTCTAAAACAATTTATTTTCTCAAAAACATTTTAGATACACTCTAGTCGTAAAAAATACATATTTGAAATCACTTAGACCTATAACTAATAGAACATCTGAATCAATAAACAATGTGCGAATAAATGCGCGAAGTTAACAAAGCAACAATTGAAAGATTACCATTGGGTAGCATCAGCTTTATTTTTTATTACAGCTGAAATTCTTTGGGGCATAGTGTTAACCAAATTTTGGCAAAATTGGTGTAAAACAATCCCATATTTCTTGAAGCTTTTGTCTCAGTTCGGTGATTGTACGAGCAGGATGTTGTCGTAGAACGATTTTCGAATAGTGCCACAAAGTTTCAATAGGTGACAGATCTGGACTGCTAGAAACCCATTTCAAAAGTAGTACATTATTTTCTTCCATCCATTTTATAGCCTTTTTTGAGGTATGGCACGCTGCACCATCTTGCTGAAACACAAAATCTTGGCCGGATGTCAAACATTCTTTTATCACTGGTAAAAGCGATTCTTCTAAAATTGCCAAATATTTGTTTGTAACCACATTTCCATCAATAAAATGAAGTTTTTCTACTCCCTTTGATGACATACTGTCCCAGACCATAATGGGTGCTGGAAATTTCACTTTTCTCTTCATACAGTCAACATATTCCATGTTGACTTAATTTTTGGCGAATAACTGTACTGCGACTGTCACCAACACAAACTTCGAATCGGGCCTCATCACTCCATTGTATTCCACACCATTGTTGAGGTGTCCATTGTCTAATCTCTCTAATTCTCAGTTTGTGGACCTCTCTATGAGTTGTGGACCTCGAAATTCTCCTTCCAACAGCGTCACTCCACAGAGCAGTTAATTGTAAATAATTGGCACGCCTGTTTTTCACGATTATTCTTCTTAATGCTCTTCGGTCAGCATTTGTGATATTACTTTTTTTCACATATCGTGGCTTAATAATAACTGAACCCGTTACGTTATATCTTCTAACAATATTTCTCACACTGTACCGTGATAAGTCTAATAAAGTTGCAATTTCTGAGTTTGATTTCCCAGAATTAAAAAATTCAATTATCAGTAACCGAATTTTCTCACTAATAACCTTTCCTCTACCCATTTTGAAAACCTTAACTACCCAAAACTATTTTAAACGTATTCTGACAGCTGTGATTAATAAAAACAGTTGTCATGGCTTTTATTTTTCACAGCCACCTATGCGTTATAGACTTATTTTGCATTGAAATGAAAATAGGTTGATATGCTGTAATTGCAACATGTGTTATTTTTATGCTGCAAATTTGATTAGGGTGTTTTCTACTATATATTATCAAAATATTAATTGTTAATATTTTTAAACCTATAACACCATGCTACATTTTTATTATTTGTGTTTGATAAGGAAAAGACTAAGACTTCAATAGTTGGGCCAACTGAAGTGGGGAGGGGCTCGTATGTATTATTTAAATGGCAAGTAAGAAAAAGATACATGATCCTTGTAATCTAAAGCGAATAAAAATTCATATTTGGGCAAAATAGTAGTTATTTGTTGTGTAGTTACGTTAAAATGATACAATATGAATTGCTTTTCGGAGATATATTGTCCCTTTTCGTGATTTTACACTACTTTTCTCTTATTATAGTATCTCGAGGAATATTAAAAAAATACTTTATCCGGTACTCTTTGTGTAGTATTTTTGCACATAGGTATAATACAGAACTTATAATAAGGTTTCCGTTCTCCGTCCACGCTTCCTCTTTAATTATAATGTATGAAATCAAACTTTTGGAAACACGACAGCACATTAACCTAAAAGACAATCAAATGACATGTCGAGAGTTATGACGTCACTGTGGAGCGCGCAAAAAGGCGGCGTTGAATCATTATCAGTGGCGTTGCAGTTTATTAAAAATAAGTTCAATTATTAACATGAACTAAATATATGTTTATGGTATTATATTATACGTGAACATTCGAGAGAAATACAGAAAAAAAAACATGAACATTCCCTATTTTCATTCGTTGAAGTTATTGCCCACTTTGCTGTAGTAGGATTGTGTCGTGAGGGTGTCATACATTTGCTAATGATATCCTACAGTCAAGCCATGGAGGTTAAATTGACAGAAGATCGATTAGATTTAGATCAGAATACGATATCAGTTATATCTTGTTTGACCAATTGCAGCACAAATGGTATTTTTGAAAATAATTCACAGCAGAACCAGAGTACAGATGCCATCGACGCACTCTTTCTAACTTACATATTGCACGCTTCTCACACTTCTCTCTCGTACACATGTCAGCAACATTTGAACTCTACCGAATAAAATAATACTACCTCTCGAAGTCTAGTAACCTCATTAAATTACATTCTAAGAATAATGCTATATAGATAATTTCGCCCCGTATGTGCATATCGCGTCACCGCGCTGTCTGCTACCTCCTTTTATAAGTCCCTCAAATCCACTATACTACAACTATTTAAAACTGTAATGACTCAAACGCGTGATCAACACGTGATCAGAGCTCGATCCCGGCTTCCTTCCAGTACAGCCGTATAGCGTACGACATATGTCGTTTCTGTGGCTTTGCGGTGGTCAACAGCACAGACAGAGATGGAAATAATGGCTGATTATTCTCCACCGGTAGAACCAATGAAATCAAAGACGCGCCTCGACCGGCAGACTCATAGGCGTCGGCAACGCATTGGAACGTGTTTCGTTGAGCGATCGCATATTGTGTGTTTTTATAAGAATTGTTGTGTGATTGTTATTGTTGTGGTTTCTGTGGTTACTGTTTTGGTTATAGTTAACCATGGAGAGTACAAATGGCACGAGTGGAAGTACTGAAAGCCAGGGAACAAGTAGACGGCTTTGTAAAGCACTGAAGAGGGACGCGAAAGAAATCGTGCTCAACGTGTTCAATTATCTGAACAGAACTATGTCGCAGGGAGATGCACTCGCGCGTTGTGAAAGTAGGACAGGCGTTCCAGAGTGGACCATTCGCAGGGTGGTGCATGAGGAAGAAAACTGGAGCTACTACTGATCCAAAGTTTAATTTGAAGGGAAGAAAGGCCGTTAAATTTGATGACGATAGCAAAATGGCGTACATTCATTCTTCTTTAGGAATGAGATACCAACCCTCAAGGCTGTACATGCAGCGATCAAGGAAAATGAAATTATACCCCAAATGAGCGTCGAGGTAATGAGAAAATCCCTGCACGAAATTTTCGTTACGAAACGCGTAATCGGAAGTCAGTATTGATAGAGAGACCTGAAATAGTCGCCTGGCGTCGAAAATACCTACGCGAAATGATTGAATATAGGCGACAAAGCAGAAAAATCTATTATTTGGACGAGACATGGGTAAATGCAGGTCACACAGTTAAAAAAACCTGGATAGACAAAAACGTAGTGAGTAACCGACAAGCAAGCATTGAAGGTTTGTCAACAGGTATTCGTCGACCGTCAGGGAAAGGTCAAAGATTGATCGTAGCTCATATTGGTAGCGATAGTGGCTTTTTAGAAGAGTGTGACTTGATTTTCGTCTCTAAGAAAGGAGGTGATTACCATGACGAAATGAATGCCAGCTGCTTCGAGAGCTGGTTTCAAGGGGTGCTTCAGCGAGTTGAGCCCAACTCTGTGATCGTCATGGATAATGCTTCCTACCATAGTCGTCGAGCCGAACGTGTACCGACTATGGGATTTTGAAAAAGTGACATGCAGCAATGGTTGCGCGAAAAAGGAATCCCTCACCGAGTATTATTTGCCCCTAAATACATCAGAATTTTCTGAAACGTCAATAAACGCGGTTTTTATTTTCTTCGGTTTAGCGTTTTTCTGCGCCGTCACGAGACCTACAAAGCTTTTGCGTCCTTGCCATAGTAGTAATAATGTCATCGAAGTCCGAGCAGTACTTTCCAAGTTATAGACGATCCAAGAATTTTGCGGACAGACCGGCAGACATATTGACAGACCGACAGACAGATAAGTGAAATAGTTTTTCATGATGTGCAAGTCATATAATATCCAAAAACGTTTTCGAAATTGCTCGCGATTACAATACTTTCTCGCCAGTAGGCATGAGAAGTAAAAATTGAAAGCTGCTCAGAAAGGGCTGTGCTCCACCACCATTGCTATTTATACGTAGTATACACACTGGAAGAATTTACAAGATAACGACATCTCTTTGCGTAGTATTAAATACGCTGTCGATATCTTACTCCTCGCAGAAAATATTTACGATTTTCAGAGAATTTTAACGCAAAGCGTTACAAGTACAAAAAATAAATAGGATTCTTACTGAATATAAAGAAAATAAAATTAATTTGCACAAAACAGCGTCAACTTCTATGTGAAATATTAATAGACTGAAAGAGTGAATGACTATAACTACCTGGAAACAAATGACAGTAAATCAAATGATAGCGCAAAGGAAATTAGGACCACAATAAAAAAAGCTCAGATTGCATTCAGTAATATGGAGTATACGTTGTGTAGTTTTAGTTTGGATTTGAGATTGAGGATACTCAAATGTACTCTCCTCGGCAATTCTGTATCCATGCATTGGGCTTAAAATTAAGTCAGTATGAAAAACAGTAGTCTTAATATGAGGTCCCAAACACCTCATGTATCGATAAAGCTAGAGACTCAACAGTACTCGAAATACTCGATAGGGAAAATGAAATAATGCTTACCGTCAAAACAAGAAAATTACAATATTCATGACACAATAAATCGTTGGGAGAAATACATACAGGGTGTCCCGTAAATGGTCCGACAAAAAAATAGAGACGATACGCGAAGGGCAGAAAATATTCGCATTTAGTTGGTCTCCCATTTGAAATATCATTTACGATAAACACAAGTAGGTGAACTTGACAAACTCGTAATTTTTATTTTAGAAAACCATGTTATTCAACTTTGGTATTCAGCAATGAAATAAAAATGTACTAGAATGCTACTGCGATAAATTACCTGCTCAACCAGCAACAAAAGAAACAACAAACGCGGAAATTTTTCGAAAAAGAAAAAAAAAGATCTCAAAAACAGTGAAACTTTTACTAGGGTTATTTTTTGGTATGTTGTAGATCTGCCTTTCGCCTGTCTACCCCACTTTTTTGTCGTACTATTTACCGGACACCCTATATAATTCTGACCGATCATGCAGGTTAAAATTTGATGTACTCGTAAACAAAATAGAATGTCCTGGTTAAGAATCTTAGAAAGTAGTTCGGCTGGACTAGTTCCAAAGATCAAGATAGCATTGCTGATAGCCAACCTTCATAGCGGAGACAGAAGAAGCACAAAAATAATGAATACAAAATTAGTCAGACTGATATTTATGCTAATATCTGTACTAAAGAATGTGGTGGATATACTGCTACATATTATAGTACAGTGTCCAAAGACCTTTAACGGATAACGAACGTACAGTATACTTGAATCTCGGACTATAAAAACTCTCTATCGCTCTAGCAAGCCTGAGGACTACACAACCGTTTCCGGGAACTATATAATCACACCTCGTTCATCAAACTAGAGCACAAAACTGTAATAAAACCGCACTTTATCGCACTGACAACGTTACTATCATTTTCAAATATATCGGCGTACTTTGCATTATTATTGTTGTAATCCGGGATTATTGTACCGATGCCGGAGTTAGCAATTCTCCCGGACTCTGACGTTGAGTGATCGATTGTCGAGATGGAACTACACCGCTCTACGGAACAGCGGTCTACTTTGCTGTGCTATTGATATACGACCTGTTAATAATTGTATAGAGCGGGAACTGTGGGCTTTAATAAAGGATTACAGAGTTGAGACAAAACGGCCACTAGGGCATACAGATAAAATGCCGAATGCCGCTACGATATATAGGGTGTTTCACGTAGAACTACAGCGATCAGTTACTAGAAAAGTTTCAGCTTAGAATATAACTAATGAGACCAATTGAATCGGATCTCGCAAGTCGATTTCTTTACTAACGTGCTCTTTTTACTGAAAGCGCTTCATTAAAGATAGATGCATATTCTGGGCATACACCTTGCCTTGCCTTGCCTAATATTACGTTCAGCTCAAAAACATCGTCCGGGACTTACGTGGCTTTTCCACGCACTACTCGACGGTGGTTTCTTGAATGGGTCATTTCAAAAAAAGTACCAGCATCCCTGTATTGTTTTATTTTCATATTTATGTGCTATATGCACCAACATATCACTGTTTCATTCACTAACTACAAAAATAAGATTACGGGCCTTATCTGGTTTGTCCGAAATCACTTTTTTAAGAGGTTTCTTGTTTCCTGCAAAAACCATTGGCTCCAGCCTTCTTAATTGTGTGACTGAGATCTTTCAAATGTACGCTGGATATTTTAAATAGCTGTTCGTATAGATAGTCTGAACATAGAAGGACACGCACAACACTTATCTTGCAATGACAATTTTTTTGTTTGTTAAAGAGTTAAAGTTTATGCCTGGTAGTCTATAAGCAGCCGATTACCAATTATTGAAGAAAGTTTTATGAATAAGTCTATGTACGTTTTGATGATAGTTAATCCATGGTTTAGATGTAAAACTGGGAATTCTACTTTCCCAGGAGTTCGATTTGCCCTGATTTCCCCTATGTATCCTAAAAACATTGAAACTTACAAAATTAAAACGTGTGGTACGTTAATAAGTCACTATTTAAGTTAATTTTCAATAATAAGCATTGATTCTTTTATTAGTTAGTTATACACCACTTAACCTACTTTCTGCTATAACAACGAAGTCCGTAATGGTTTTTCGGGCTTTTTGCATTATTAATTTTTAATTAATTTTTAATTAGTTTATAAACAGTGGAGGTTATTTGAAATTTGAATCTTTTAGAACTCAAATGCGACATTAAGCTCAAAAAGGTATTGTGATACTGGTTTATTTGTCAATAAAACAGTATTTGTCGCCTCATGAAAAATTCAAATTATGGGACGAGGTTTTTGCACTGACCGATTCAATTCATAATAATTTCAAAATGGAGCCCCTTCGGTTAAACCGGATGTAAATAGTAGATATTCTAAATAGAACGCCCTGTATATTATTCAACAAAGCCCTAAACTACAATCTTTTTAAATGAAAATCACATATTTCAACGTTTTACTGTATAAGTCATTGAAAATATGGTTGTCTACTTCTCAAATTACTAGTTTAAGAGATATATATGAGAATATTGGTTTTTTCTTTTCTTGGTTGGCCATGACGTGGCGACAGCATGATAACCTTAGTAAGTTTGTTCCAACAAGCAGTTCCAAACTAGTTCAGAACTAATTCCGAATTATTTAAGTGCGCATGCCCGAGGAAAGTATAATTCAGAACTAGTAACGAACTATTCTGTTGATACAGAGAGTTACATGGCTTGTTGACGTAAGCATAACCTTAGTTGAAGTCAAATAATTAATATCTGTGTACTAGACCTGGAAATTGGTAAAATTTATTTGTTCAGCGTAGTGTACATCTTGGGAACGCGAGATGGCATAAGTAACAAGAGGCTCGTCTCTTAGTGAAAAAACATAAAGAAATGACTTGAAGTTTTGTCATTTTGAGAGCTGGAAGAATTTATCATTTTGTCTTTAGAAGAAGCATACTCTGCTACAGTAGCAGATGACGGAGTTAAGAGGAATGCTGACAACACTGAGCTAACTAACTTAAAATGAAAGAAGTACAAATAATTAATATTACTAATCACATGACTGAAATAAATTCATCAAAATTATCAACACTTGCCAGGACCGCATTTACTATATAGGCGCGCAGAGCTAAGGCCTGAGGAGCACCTGGTCAGGGCCCGAAGAGAGAGCGTGAGGTGGCCCTGTTCATTGATAAGCACAGAACAGGAAAATAGTAGTACAAATCTATTATTTGAGAAAAGAAACATACTTGCAAAGTAGATATTAATTTGAACTCTAAATGGTGTAAACATTGTAATCATCCTCTGAAAATGTTAATATTTTATCCTATGTATGTATTATTATCTAAGAATAAAGAGCAAATTGACAATATAATTTATATTTTAAATTTTGTCTCGCTTTCTGGCAGAATTTTTCCTAGTATTACACTAGGGCGCAAAAACTATTCAGATGAGTAATCTTTATCGTCAACCAAATCAGAAACGGACAGCTGATTGACGGCACTTATTATGTAAGCGCACATGCGCTAACAAATTTGACCTTTTAGTTCTCTTAGAATTAGAACTATTAGAACCAGTACAAATAAGGTTTCGACTCAGTATGGAACTTGTTGGAACATAGAGCAGCTAGTTCTCTTTTCTGTTGTAGCGGTCATTTTAATATGTGCATGTCAATCAAAGCTAGTACTTCGTCTGATTTGCGTCATGGCCAACTGAGACTGTATGGTAAAAGATTTATTGATTATTTAAGCAACAGAAAAGCCAGTATTTCCATATAGCTCGAAAACTACTAATTTGAGAAGCTGGCAACTTAATGCAAATTAACCTTACTTCTATTGGTACGATAAAACTATAAAAAAATGTTTTTAATTTTAAAAAATTACTCTGTCAGCTTTATAAAATCTGTTGTATTCTCTACTAGTTGTTATCCAATCCTGAAATAAAATCAACTAAATTTTTTTACAAGGCATACGTTTTTTGTCACACACTATACTTTTTGACCGAACTATATGATCAGAAAGGAGCGAATGAAGGTACAAAGTGGGATGTAGTGATATATACCGGGAAGCAGGGCCATTGGCCTAGATTCCTCGCAGGCGGCAACTCAACTGACAGTGCAGAACTGACGTCAGCAATATCAGTGACGTATGTGCATAACTTTGGAAAGATACCGCGTGGAACACAAAAGCTTCCAGAATACTGACTATGGACCAACACCATCTATAGTTCATTCCACGGCTTTTGGCGGGTTAGAGTAAGCCTGCAGGAATTATTTTCATACATCTCCCTCAATCATACATACCGGGGCACTGAGAAAAGGAGCGTTCGTAACGGTCAGTTCTGGAGGTATGAAGTTTGGCACGGTTAGGATGGGAAGCCGAAAACAGGCAGGTCTGTTTGGCAGGCTCATCGAGTGGCGGCATCATGAAGGAGAGGTCTGATGAGCAAAGCCCGTTCTCATAGCAGTAGAAGAGAGCCAGATCGCCGACGGCCCGCCGGCGCCGGTGCGAAAGGGTTCTGAGACTGTCCGTCAGAAAAGAGCTACCGATCAGTTGGACAGCCCTCCTCTGAGCAGCATCCAGCCTGGATAATGTAGTCGAGATACCAGCACTCCAAACATGTGAGAAGTACTCAGACTAGGTCTTATCTGGGTAATTGGCCGAGGTTGTTTGTGTAAGGTCGCAGACATGCGTTTTTCAATTTTGTTTCACCGCCATGAGATTTTCCGCGTCAACTTCTGGGTCGTCCACATTTATACTTGCCACAAGTTGCTTGTCACGGACGTACAATCTGAGTTCACCTACTTATTGCTAATCCTTGGTACTGCCACAGTCTGTGATAAACGTATTAAAGTATTTTGAGGAAGTGACTGAAAACAACGCTCCTCTATCGTCCAATACATGTGCTTGTGAGTGTGCAAGAATCACTACCATCTGCATTAAGGATTGGGGAAGCTAAGCTAAATCGAAGTGATTGGGTTCTTATGGTAATATTCAACATTATCGTTGTTACTTCGCTTCCGTCAAATAAGCGAGAAAATTCTTGTGATGGCGTTAATGGTTGAATTTGAGGTTTTCTAAAATGTTTGCAAATGTCCAAATGAGGAAAATCCATACTGCCGATCGGCCTATCTGTTGCAGTTTCAGCAGCTTTGCGTAATCTGACTATCGGCTTAACCGAATTCAATGAAATTTGGGTAGCGATATACCAGAATGTCAAAGAGATAATACTGCTATGTTATTGGAAATAATTAGTAGCTGAGTTGTGCGCAAAATAGAATAAAAGAATCGTCAAAACGTGCCCCAACTTCATTTTTATTCTTCTTTTGAATACGTGATCCTGCAATACTAATTGATGTACTAATAATAAACAAATAAATTGATTGAGTCATCAACAGGGTAGTTATCCACGGATGGTGACGCCCCAACTAGCAAAGTAGTGGTATAAGCTTTTGGTAAAACAACCGTTCAGCCATAAAAGCTCTCTATTGTTGTTGCATGAACACCAAAATGCTGGCTTAATGTTGTGTGGAATGCAAATTTGCTCTAAAGTGAGATGTTTAAAATATTCTTATAGTATAGTTATACAACACCTTATAGGGCAAATTTTTAACTGTTGTATAAACGTTTATACAACTATTCTATACGGCATATTTGCACGTTAGTCAAAATGGTTGTGTTGTGGCATCCATGGTAACGTTTATAAAACAAACCCGAGCCTTGTTGTTTTGCTGTGCAATTTACTACCTTAGCCAACAAATTGCTCCCAACGGAAGCACTTTAACAACTGTTGTTTTGTAATTGTTAAAGGCTGTGTGTACATATGCTAAATATGTTGGTATACAACTTCACCATAACCTAACTTTTTGCTGTCATATTTTTGTTAAAATGCCATAACCAATGTTTTAAGACAAACAACGCATGCATATTGGTTCAAAATGTTTTATCAACTGTTCAAACAGAAGATATAGATCTGGTACAAATTCTGGGTAAGTCATTCGACTCTGACGGTATTTAATTGCAGACATTTCTATAATATTCTAA